AAGAAGACGAAACGAAGAATTACTGAACTTTTCCCGGAAGCTTTTAGCTTGAGATCTGGGAAAACGCTGTTATGTTCCTCTTGGGGTTCTGGGATTCGGGATTGTGAATTTTCGATGCGGAAGTCAGTAACTTTTAAGAGAATTTCGTTCTTAGAATCTTCCATCTGGGCCTTAGGAAGGTTAAAGCTAGCTAAGACTCCTAAATATTGACATTTTCGTTTACCTTTCTGATTATCGATCCCCAGTTGCCTTTGAATATGCTCTGAGCCATACTTTCTCTCTTACGGTTCTCTCTCTTCGGGTCACACGACAAAAAGAGAACAAATTGAGCCAAGTCAAGAAAGCCTTCGACTTTCCGCGAATGTTTTAAAAAAATGAACTTTTAAAAACGATGGAGCCAGTATACTAATACTTGGTTCTTTTTTCTGGATTACGCATATAATACCTTTTTCTCCATCCTGTGAGCTACTATTTATTTTGAGATAAAATCGAGAGTCTGAACCCTGGTGAAAATTGGCGATAGGAGCTCTGTTTCAAAATACCATAGGAATTCTTATAGCCGGCGAAAGAAGGCTACAGAAAATCATATAGCTGTTTGATACGGAACCACCTTAATATTTACAAAACACACATTATATTTTCCTTTGATACATATTTTTTTTCATCAATTAAAATGAGAATAATCCATACAGGATGTGCGAACATTTCAAAATCATGAGTTGAATAACGCTGACTCCGCCAGATTAAATATTAGAACCTAACACAAAGCGGAGCGGCGACGCACTGGCGCCTACAAACCTAACAGGGATACTTCACGCATTGCGCAACGCGTGAAGTATCCCTGTTAGGTTTGTAGGCGCCAATGCGCGTTTCGCGCTGGCTGCCCGCCTGCCGCGCCGCAGCGTGCCACGGCGCTTGAAGCAACTATTTCACACCAGAGGTATTGCACAATATCATACGAAACTGAAGGCGCTCTAATATATTAGGAATGGCAGGCATCCATAATAAGTACGGAGCTTTTCTCGCAGAATGAACCAAGATACTACGGCCCGAAAAGAGAGCAGTTGTCCAAAAACTCACTAAGTCGTAGCATCCATAATTAGTAACGTTTAGCATACACTTTATCGCCTGGCTGTTGGTCAGTCGCCATCGGCTTTAAAAGGCTATAAGAAATTGTGTAGCCGGTATAGAAGCTATTGGAAATCTTACAGCCGGCTGTAGGTCTATGGTATTTTGGAACACAGATTCTACTGCCAATTTTTACCAGGGAAAGCCAGGGAAACTCTTCGCAGGATCTCAAGTCGAAATTTCTTCAATTTAACTCGTTCGGTAAAGCCTTCTAAACCCTCTAAGAATTGAAAAAAGTTGAAGAAGGGATAATTTTATCCCCGAACGTAAATTATTCGGACTCATGACGTGACAACGCTGCGAAGGGTGGTTTCATTTCGCTCGCGCCGCGCCGCGCGTAATGTGTAATGTGAAACTGGGTTTCAGGCTCCGAAAAGGAGGCGAATCAGTAATGCAAGTTAAGTGCATCCGATTTCGGTGCGTGGGCGAGAGGTGATGAGTGTTGAATCGTCGGCGACGCTTTAGGGCCTAATTTTATCGCTTGGCTCGTGCAGCCGCTTGTTCTCCAACTTACAATTAATCTCGGTTTGACGCACCACAAGGAAAAGCACCAATTGGCAGGGTGTCCAGCGACCGGAAGAATCGGGAATATCAGGGATTTTTTTTTGTGTGTGTGTCAGGGAAATCGTCTGGGAATCCGCAAAAATTCGGCATGTCGGGGAATTTCATTTTTCGCCCGATTTTTGTGTCGGGAAAACGTCAGGGAAATCGGAAAACACGGATTATTCGGAGAACATTTCGCGAATTTTACTATTGCGGAGCTTTATACTAAAATTTTTTTTTATCAAAATTATCTTATTACTTATCTATCATATCATTTGAAAGGAAATTGTCAGATTACGTCCGACTTCTCCAGTGACGAGGTGTGAATGTTCGATCATCATTGGATCATCGATATTTCCCCATTTTAAGCTATGGCAAAAGATCGATCATTAAGGTGTCGGATGCGAACTCTGTATTTATCGATACTTTCCTATTGGTGTAAATGGCAGATGAATCGATATATCGCAAAGCGCGCCACGCCACTGGTATTTTCCTATTGACTCGATCCTCTGTGCGCCTGCAAGTCATGAGAATGAGGAGCTGGAAAGTACAAGTTGAGTGAGAAGCGGTGGCGGCGCGCGCCTTTGAAGAAGCAACAGTCGAAAGGCGAGTGGGTGGGACGCTGCGACGGCGACACGTCCCGGCGCAAGGCGCAACTGGTGTGACTCATTTTCAGCCTTTGACCTTTGCCTCCCATACCCTAACTTTCTCGGAGCCCCCGATCCCCCGCCCCCCCGGCAGAGCCACCTCCTCCCCTTCGACGGGGGACCAGCGCGGCGAATCCGGAAACTGACATGCGTTGTGCGTTTTGCGTTTCGGCGAGCGAAGGCTTTACAAGCAGCACGCGACGCGTAGCTCGCCGTAGGGTGTCACCGAGAACCTGTAGGGGGAGTAATCGAAGATTGAAGAATCGAATTAAATTCGCCAAAATACCCGTTTCGTTTTTAATTTTGCATAATCAGGGTGTCTACCGGTCCCCAACGTCCCTGAAAGTCCCCAATTTTCTTGTTCAGGTCCCCAAAAAATGACCAAAATCGTCCTAAACACGGGCATTTTCAAATTTTCCCGCCAGCCGCGGCGACACGGTATAAAACCAGGAATAAAACAACTGAAGGGTTGCTCGGTTTTTCGTATGTTTTCATCGGTTCAACATGACTTGTAAAATTAGTCGTGTAAAATACGCCTTTTAACGCTTTAACTAGCTCCCTTTCTCTTACTACTTCGGGGAAAAAAGCCCCCGATTTTCTCGAAAGAACACCCCTTAAAGTCCCCAATTTTGGTTTTTGTTACTGGTAGACACCCTGATAATGCGCGGAAGCATGTTTCGGCCGGCAATTTCATGAAAAATTAAAATCCTTAAATTAAATCTGGATTGAGGCCGAAAGTATGCAAGTGCAAAATATTTCATTCGATCAGTCGAATCGAAGGATTACTTTTCGCGTTCGTATTTCAGCTTCAATTTAGGTTGCGCAGGAAAGATTTTTGGGATTTAGCTGAAATGGGGAATTTCTAGACGAAGAACTCAATTCGAGGGCTGCAAAATTTACCAAAAAAAGTGAAGTTTTTACAAGAATATGGCTATGTAAGTTTTCTCCCGAATTTTGCGTTTAGTCGGAAGAAATATCAGTTAAAGTTCCAGTCAGTATCGCTAAACAGTGCCGTGGTAAAAATACAGTATTCGTCTAGGAAACGATGAAATGGATCGCGTTTAGCAGAAAGGAGCTAAGTCACATCAGCCATTGTCGAATTTAGATGGGAAATTTCATTTTTTACCATAGGACGTTTGTGCGGATCCCTTCGAAAAGTTTAAGAAATGTGCTTCGCATTATGCCATAAATTCACCGAAATTTGCATAAAAATCCGCAAAACAAACCGTTTTCAAGCATATAATCATATTGCCTAATTAAATTTGGCAGTAGCTGATGTGACTTGGTTCCTTCCTTCTTAACACGGTCAAAAGATGCCTTTTTAATAACATGAATCCTCTATTTGCACGTCAAAATTTTAAGTGGAAAATATACGTGGCCAAAAATTGTTGCATATCTTGATTTACGTTCACTTCCTCTGAAAAACCGCGTTAAAATCCTTGCGCCCTGTGACGCGGGCAATTTCTTGTCGCGCGCGCCGTCCGTGCATGGAACCGAGGCTTCGTTGACGCCCCGCGACACGACACGGGCTTCACGCCTGCCTGTTGTCGGCGGATCCGTCACACCCGTCTGCCGTTTTCACAGTGACGTCATAGCTTTGCGATCGAGATCTCCTATCGTAAGTGTCCCTCGATCCCCCTCCTCCTGACGAGGATAGGATTGTCCTTTAAGGTCGGAGGCAAAATGTCATGAAATTCAAAATCGTGAACAGGGTGTCTACAAGTCCGGAATTTCCGGAAAGTTCGAAAATGGTACTGATTTTTTAAAGGCGGTCCGGAAGTACTGAAAAAGTGCGGAAGTTCCGTTAGAAGGCCCGGAATTTTTCGATTTTGTCGCAATTTGAGAGAGAAATTCAAATTTTTGAAATTTTTCGAATTTCACCTAATGGCGGTACTGAAAAAGTACTGAATTTTTCCGTTGAGGAGGTCCTGAATTTCTCGGAAATGTACTGAAAAAGTACTGTAGAAGTACTGATTTTTGGCCAGCCTGTTTTAATAGACACCCTGGTGAAATATTTCCGGCAATAATCTTCAACGTTTTATGAACCACAATGAAGAGTATGTATGTACCAAGTGGAGCATTTTTAGGTCCGTTCGGTGAATTTCATGTTTCAGATGAAAATACAAACAGAATTAAGCAAGTGGGTATCCTTGTTATTCTAAATTGAACAATTATTGGAGGGGATAAGACAAAATGACCTAATCTGCTAAAATTAATGTATTTAAATGGGAAATGCCGCCAGCGGCCCGATTATTGAAATTGATAGACAAAGCTATAGACAAAGAAGACAAAAGAGATATGGAAGGATCCTATTGGTGGAAGAGGGTGGTTGCAATGGACAAGGGAAGTAGGTAATAGACTAACTAACGGCAACCCACGAGAGACTCGACAGTTAGTCCATCATTCTCTCCCTTAGTCTATGAGAGCCACCCGTTTCAACCAATAGGATCGCTCCTTACTCTCTATGTCTTCTTTGTCTATCGCTTTGTCTATAAATTTCAATAATCAGCCCGCAGGTGACGTCACAAGGCGGCACAGTTTCTCACTTTTAAATATACTTTTCCTCAAAAATTTCCCATCTCTGAAAAAAATTGTGAAAAATACTTCAGCTCATTGAGCACTCTCAGAACAATCAGCTGTGCTTATTCACATAATGTCTTTATTTCGTCTTCTTTTTTACAGGTCGGAGATCGGGTTGTTGCATTGCCAGAACTAGGAGCCTGGGCTGAACTGGTAGCCGTTCCTGCAAAATATGCTTTCCCCATTCCTGCAAAAGTCTCTTTTGCCGATGCCGTTGCCATCACTCTAAACTACACTGTAGCATACATCCTCCTCTTCGAATTAGCCGGTCTCACTCCCGGAAAGAACCTCCTTGTCCACTCAGTTGCTGGTGGAGTGGTAAGTCGCAAAAAATAGTCATAATTAAATTTCTCACGATTAATTCCATGGTAAAGATTATTTTTCCCCCTTCTTATTTTTTTAAAGGTGCCGAAGAAAATGGGTGTCAGGGTTGCCAGCGGTCTGGAAAACCGGCAAAGTCAGGGAATTTTGCGAGGTGCGTTAAGGAGAACAGAGTTGCCACAGGCAGGGAAAACTGGGAAATGTCAGGGAATATGACGAAAATTACTAAAATGTCAGGGAAAATTTGTTAATACACCTTCATTTGCTTTCCTGAATGGGTTCGAGATTTCGAACAACAAAATTTGCCTGAAAACTGTTTTCAATTATGCCCTCCTAACCATCTGTCACATCTTCAATTGTCAGGGAATTTCACCAAAGTGTGTCAGGGAAATCAGGGAAATGTCAGGGAATTTCATTTTCTAAATACTGTGGCAACCCGGGGAAGAGTGAGTGTAATTTAAAGGGAAAAACCGAAGTTGAAGTTTTAATCTTATTCAAATGTCAGGGAAAATCACAGAAAATTTTGGAGTCAGGTAAAAGCAAAAATAGTTGGATATAAGTCTGAGAATTTGATAATAATGAAATTATGGCGACCCTGACTGTGTGTTTTTTGATTAAAAATAAATGTTTGCTTCAGTAACAATGACCCAAAATCTTTTTCAAAAAATTCAAAACTTCGATTGTAAAAAACCTCTCCGGTCAATTTTTCTCTGAAATAAAGTCAGCAGTATAATTGTGTCAAATTCAGGGAAATTTTTCATCTTTAAATAATGGTACAGAATGTGTAATATATAAAACAAAAAACCGTACCTACGTACGCAGAAATTTCGCTAAAATTGACCAAAATTTGCTTAATTTAAATGAAAATTTGACCATAGGGGTTCCCGATTTTTAAATTTTGTGAAGATTAAGTGCTTATTTGTAAAATTTTACAAGCTTTTCAACAAATGATTCATATGTAAAATTTTACAAGCTTTTCAACGAATGATTCAAAGGCCACAGGTACCAGTGTACTTCTCAGATTCTGTTTTTCCTTCACCTCACCCCTCACACAATAATAATAATAATAATAATAATATATTTATTAATGCAATAGCCTCATGAAATTCATACAAATTTATGAGCTTAACACTCGTCAAATAATATAATGGAACAAAATTTAACATCAAATAAATGTAACAAAAATTTTAACAAACAAATAAAAAACAGTAAATGAAGAACTAAGACTTAAGACTTAGGGGACTACATTCAGGCAATTTAGGGATTGGGGAGATTTGCGTCGAGATATTCTTTTAACTCGTAAAAAGGGTTTTCTATGAAGTAATTTTTTATGTTATTTAGGAATAGATTTGAATTTTCTGATTTAATGAAAAGTTCTTTTAATGGCTTGGGAAGCTTGTTAAAATATCTGATACCTCTGCTTTCTAAGCTATCCCAGTCTACTTTTTCCCCCCGTTTTTTTTCAATTTTTGCTAGGATATTTCTGGTTTGTATTTGATTATTAGTAATTAATTTTTCTTTGATGATGTAGCCTAATTTAATTGATTCCTTTATTGTTGAATATATATACCTAGAGAAGACAGTCATCACATTGAACTCTGGGAATAGTTTTCTACAAGAGTCAAATTTTTTTTTGTTTGCAATAATTCTTAAGATTTTTTTTTGAGTTAAAAGAATATCTCTGGCACCTGTTGTATAGCCCCATAATTGTATGCCATAGCTAATTATGGAATCCACGTTAGAATGGTAGTACAACATGAGGGACTCCCTATCTATTTTCCTATTAAGTTTCCTAATAGCAAATGCCCTACTTGCAATTTTTTCCTCAATATGTTTTGCGTGAGAATGCCAATTTAGTTNGAACTGCCCGCTCACAAGAAACTCAAAGCTCTACGCGAGTCAAATCGCGCACTACTACGGTTTCAGCAAGCTTCTCGATCGAGCAATGTTCATTTCCCACCATGTGTTGTTGAAAGTATAAGCAATTTTCTATAGCTGAGCCAAAGCGTCAAGATTGAGGTTGCCAGGTTTTTTTGTCGCAGAGACGTCCATGATAACGTTTAGCGCGCGATGTGAATCACGTAGAGCATTGGGTTTTCATGAGCGGGTAGTTTCAATTCACGCACCAAGAATCATTAAATATCTTTGGAAGGAGTTAATTTCGGTAATTTTCGTTGTGCGCATCGTGTTTTACGTAAAATTTTGGTGGAGAAACATGTATCAAAATGCTGAAATTCGTACCATGTCTAGTGGTCCATTTTCTTGTGCCAATGCTCCATTGTAGATGATCAGCTGTGCTTATTCACATAATGTCTTTATCTCGTCTTCTTTTTTACAGGTCGGAGATCGGGTTGTTGCATTGCCAGAACTAGGAGCCTGGGCTGAACTGGTAGCCGTTCCTGCAAAATATGCTTTCCCCATTCCTGCAAAAGTCTCTTTTGCCGATGCCGTTGCCATCACTCTAAACTACACTGTAGCATACATCCTCCTCTTCGAATTAGCCGGTCTCACTCCCGGAAAGAACCTCCTTGTCCACTCAGTTGCTGGTGGAGTGGTAAGTCGCAAAAAAAAGTCATACGAATTTCACCGAAGTGTGTCAGGGAAATCAGGGAAATGTCAGGGAATTTCATTTTCTAAATACCGTGGCAACCCGGGGAAGAGTGAGTGTAATTTAAAGGGAAAAACCGAAGTTGAAGTTTTATTCTTATTCAAATGTCAGGGAAAATCACAGAAAATTTTGGAGTCAGGTAAAAGCAAAAATAGTTGGATATAAGTCAGAGAATTTGATAATAATGAAATTATGGCGACCCTGACTGTGTGTTTTTTGATTAAAAATAAATGTTTGCTTCAGTAACAATGACACAAAAAACTTTTTCAAAAAATTCAAAACTTTGATTGTAAAAAACCTCTCCGGTCAATTTTTCTCTGAAAAAAAGTCAGCAGTATAATTGTGTCAAATTCAGGGAAATGTTGCATCTTTAAATAATGGTACAGAATGTGTAATATATAAAACAAAAAACCGTACGTACGCAGAAATTTCGCTTGAATTGACCAAAATTTGCTTAATTTAAATGAAAATTTGACCATAGGGTTTCCCGATTTTTAAATTTTGTGAAGATTAAGTGCTTATTTGTAAAATTTTACAAGCTTTTCAACAAATGATTCATATGTAAAATTTTACAAGCTTTTCAACGAATGATTCAAAGGCCGTAGGTACCAGTGTACTTCTCAGATTCTGTTTTTCCTTCCCCTCACCCCTCACACGATGGAGCACCAAGCAAGGTAGTTCAGGATTATAGCTGTTTTTGTGTTTCCTAACAGGAAACATGAATGCAAAACTAGTGAATTGGAGCACCTACCTCCCACTCCAGCATCAGCACCGGCTGTGATGGCTGAGAAAGGGAGAAAGAGGCTGAGTCAATGTAGCAATGTTTCTTCAGTGAAGCATGATAATTGACAAAATTAGATATGCTCTCTCTCACGACAGCCTGCTCTGCTAAATCTTACTTTCTATCATTCAAACAGCCAGTTTTCCAACCTGAATGCACTGACTGTTGTGCGTCAGTGTGTACTTATTTCAATGCATCCTTGAAGGCAGTTGCATCATGTAGCAGCAGATTTCAAATTTTACATCGCAGCCTTGCGTATGTGATAGTAAATATCAACATTCACACCATGATATGTGTATCTTTCGAAGCCACCCGCACAATTTTAAGTTGTGAATTAATTTTCTGTACAAAAAGCATAATACGAAAGAAATTCTGTAAATGTTGCAGTACAATTTTATGTGTTTTCTGAGTTGTTCCTCCTTCGATTAATTATGTCCTTTTAAATACATCTCAAAAACTTTAAGATGGAGTAGGAAAAGTATCTCAAGATGGGAATTTTAAATAGAAAATTATCCTAAATAATCCTAAATAACTCTAAGCAGCTCAGTTATTCTCTTTTTTAGGTACTGCTGAAAGTAACATCGAATTTGTATTACAAGGCTGGCCGGCCATTTTTCCCCTTCGTTTTTGGTCATTCCGATGGTATTGAAATTGACATACTTATTAGTTTATTATAACACGGAGTTACTAAAATCATCATTATCTTTTGTTCTAGGGACAAGCCATAGCACAACTAAGTAAAACTGTGAAAGATGTCCATGTTTTCGGAGTTGCATCGAAAGACAAACATGAAGCCATCCAGTCATCTGTCAACACCTTAATTGAACGTGGTGCTGATTACTCTGCGGAAGTGAAAAAGTAAGCTGTGCTTTTTCTATCAAATTTCTAAGATTTATTTGGCTTTAAAATGTAAAAATTAGATTTTAAATCACTCGAAACAGAAGGGTGCGGAGTGTTCTCTGTTGCAAAAAGTAGTTGTAATTTCAGCCTAGAAATTTCCTCACATTGCAGAAAAGTCAGAATCACATGTTCAGCTAGGAAATTCAAAAAATCCTGCTGAGTTTCTGTCTGTTCCCAAAATATATTTTATGAAAGAAGACGAAAAGTAAAGAAATAAATTGAATAAAAATAAAATTGGTTTCCATTAAAAAGTTTCCTCTCTCTCTTTCTCATAGATTTCCTTCCTCACACCACATGCAAGCAAGAGCTTAGCATTTCGAAAACGTTTAAATATTTACTCATACATCTTTACTTCCGATTGGCTTCCAAAGAAAATTAAGAAAGGTTTAATGGAAATGATTGATTGTACTATTAACTTGAAGACTGACAGACTACTGATTTTTTTGTTTCAGGATCTCAGAAGGTGGTGTTGACTTTGTATTAGACTGCCTGTGTGGCGAAGATGTCAGCAAAGGCTACAACCTCCTTAAGCCTCTTGGAAAATATATTTTGTATGGTTAGTGAAGCAAGACTCACGTTTGTCTGTTGAACGGGCTTTACCTTGTTGACTGTAGTATGGAATACGAATAAATTCAAGCTAAAACTGTTGACCTTACATCAAAGCTATCAGTGTTTGTTCAATGAAATATAGAAATACTCATTGCATAGAGAAAATACTTTACAAAAGCAAAGGACTTCGCTCACTCCTCATGGGGACGTGTACCACGATCGATTTTTAATTTTTTTATTGCATTTAATTCGTCTGTGGATGCTTATTTAGTGTCATCATAGTGCCAACTTTCTACAAGGCACTGTTTTCGCACAATCTGCGGTTGAATTTTTGATATTTCCTCAAATAAATGAAGGCAGCATGGTGTTTTAACAAGGGAAAACCTAGGCAAAAAGAGGGAAAAGAAAGAGTGAGAGAGAAAAAATCTGATTTCTACAGTGAAACGAAAAGGTGTGCAGAGTCTGATATAAGACTGCTTCTGATCACAATGTACCTAAACGTGAAAGTTTTTCTCGTTTTCATGAAGTGCTGAAAGACAGAAGGATCTTTCCGACTCTTCATCTCAGCGCTGCCTATTTAAGTAATTATCCAAACTTCAACCGCGGATTGTGTAAAAATGGTACTTTGAAGAAAGTTGGTGCAATGATGATTTTTAATCAGCATCTGTAGACGAGTTAATGTAAAACAAAAATTATAAACCAATCGTTGTACACATCCCCATGAAGAAAGTCCTTTCTCCTGAATGATCTTTTTTCTTTAAAGCATCACCTGTTTCAACCATTAGGAAGGCAACTTGTCACCCAGGCCAAAGTTTCACAAGTGCCTTTTTGTGTTTAGATATTAAGTAGTCAAACTTGTCCAATTTTGTACAGATAAACTAATAAACGGAATCGCTCGAAAATTTTACCTATTATTTCTTTTGCTATCAAGATCAATTGCAAAACTTTTATGAAAGGACAAACCAAAGTTTTAAAGAAAAATTAAAATACCGCCAAGATATGCAACAACATAACATCCGTGTGTAAATGGAGCTTGTGTTACTTCAGCCAGAAGGTGAGGAACTGCCATCAGTGCTGTGGAGCCTCCTGATTTTCTGCTTCTAGTTTGGAAAGGTCATTGAAGTAATGCTAAAGTGTCGACAAAGATAGGCTAAATAAGTAATTAAATACCACCAAGTGAGATTTTTACTAAAGCTGTATGTTTTCCTTTTCTTGATCCTCAAGTTCCTCTTGAGTTATATTCTTACATTCTTTTTTCTTTTTTGTCCTGCAGGTTCTGCAAATAGTGTTACTGGTGAAACAAAGAGTTTGTTTACAGCTGCCCGATCCGTAAGTTGCATCTGTCGAACTGTAAGTTTGTGTGTTCTGTGTTGTCTAACTGTTTTCATAAGCTTATTTCTTTTTAACTTTCTTCCCCTTTTATTTCCAAATGATATCAAGTTTTATAGGGTTCATTTTACTCTCCTAAAGTTTTCGCCGAAGACGAATTCAGCCGGGCCAATTTTTAATATGTCTTCTCAATTTTATGGCACACCCTGTTTTGTATTTGTTGGAGGAAAGATTTCTTTTGCTCCTGTTTCAAACTTTTGAAGAATTCGAACATCTATGAATATGCCCATAAGTAAAAATATATTTCCGATTTTCTCTAAAAAAAATCATCAAAAAACCCTTACTGAGATACCAGGATAAGTCACAAAAAATTCAACTAAGGAGTTCCTTTTTAATAGATAGTACCAAGCAAAAGAATGCTATCTACGAAGGAAACCCATAGCAGAAAGCACTCTTTTGTCCAACTACCTCTTAATGCAAATCTGGCGTTTGATAGACTTATGATTTCATGCTAAAAACATTGCTTTGCGAGTCTGTTGCTTAGCCGCCATCAAGGAAGAGTATGTATTCAAATCACTGTTTCCTATTTGTTTAGAAAGAGTCAAGCACCTTGGTCTTGCATGTTATGAACTAGTTGTTTTGTCGCACTGCCTAAAAATATTGCACTCATCTTCAATTTGGATACATTCATGCAATGAAACTTTTCTTCAGCCAAATCGCTTTAATGAACTGAGAATTTATACGTGAATGTATCTAACTGCATTCATCGATGTCATCATTAAGAATTTATAGTGATTTTAGGTGCCAAGGTAGAGCTTCAAGCATCTAATCATAATCTAATCCCTCTTAAAACATTGCATCTATTTTATAGCCAGAATTGAGTTTTTTTTTTTTAAATTTAGGAATGTTTATTACTAAAATCAGCGTCAAAATATTATTTACTAATTCACCCTCGCACTGTAGTTTTGTCCTTTTTATGTATACTACTGACACATTTAACTAACTCTATGTTTAAATCATTTGTCGTAACACGCATGCCTCTTGTGAAGCTTAAATGTCAAACTAACAAGTGATTTCTAAGAATCTCTTGGCTAACATTGCCCCCTCGTCAAGTTCGACATTAGGTGCTGCAAGCAATGAATGTTTTTAATGTTTCACGACTGCTTTAAAGCGAACTTAATTGCATGTAGCTGCTCATCAAAACAGATGTCATCGCTATAGTCTGTGACAGCTCAAATGAGTGGGTAAAATAAGAATTATTATCTGTCCATGACAATGCACCAATCATCACCTTAATCATACATTGGTTAGCAAGCTTTTGCATCTTTTGCAATAAGCCATTACAGGAATTGATGCATTACTGTTTGCAGATTTTAATCCAATGTATGAATGAAAGAAGTGACAGCTTTTACAATGTGCGGATGTAAATATTCGATACTGGAATTAGGCAATTCAGCTTTCTTTTCTAATGGTTGAATTCAGGATTGTCTGATCACTCCTCAAATCCAAGAAAGGTCAAAACATGACAGGATCCTCAAAATCCTGATACTCGTTCAAAATACAGCAGTTTTAAAGCCAGGGTTTGAAGTACAACAAAAATAGTCTCTGCCTCTGAATCAATTTCTTTATGGTGCAAGTTTTTAGGAACAAAAATGTTGTTTTGATATGCTTGGTTCTTTCTTGAATCTGATTTCTCTTAAGAAAATTAATATAAAAGATATCGATGGATTAAGTGTAAAAATGTGCATCTCAGATTGCGACGTTGTAAATCTTTGGTCTTGTCTAATTTCCCTAAAGAAAACTAACCAACATTTTCTTTTGACACTGTTTTTCAAATTTTCTACATTCATTCTAAAACATCCCTCAAAATTGCAAGGGAGCATAAAGAATTGTTATTCTTCAGGAAAATTAAACATTATTGGAGATTTTTAAACGTTGCAATTAAGATACACACACATTTTTATATCTATATCATCCTCATAATATTATTTTGATTTTTCCGAAAATTTATCCAAATTAAGCTTTGCAACAACCAAGCTGAGACACTAGACTTTTAAACCTTTATATAAATTTGAAACCAAGTAGGTAAATTCAAAGCAAATAGCATTCGCAAGATAGGTCCTCAATTGATGACAAAATTCTGTCCCTATGAGTGTTCTTTAATTTTTAACTCCTAGTATTTAATTGATGTTCATTGTTTATTTTCAGTGGTGGCAAGTCGAGAAATTCACTCCTACCAAGCTTTTCGAAGACAACAAGTCAGTTTCCGGTTTCAATCTGAGGCATTTGTTGCACCAGCAGAATGGATCTGCCTACATTGCCGGAATAGTAGAAAAAGTCTTTGCTCTCTTCAAGGATGGCAAAATTAAACCAATCGTTGATTCTACCTGGGCTTTGGAAGATGTGAGTTTTTTTACAATTCCAACTCGTTTAACCCATTGACTGATCAATTAATTTTGGGTTTCTGCGCCCAGAATGAGTCTTTAATTTCGGCCCTGATTTGCTAATTTCACCTTTACCCTATAAAATCAGATTTTTGGGGCTTGTAGAGCCACTAACTCAAAAAAATTTAATTGGTTTCTTATTACTAGACTACAAAGAGAGAAAAATTGGCTAGTCGATGAATATGACTTCCATTTTTATACATCTGTGAGGAAAAATTGGGGGGGAAAAGTGGAAAATTCGGGAAAATCATGCATTTTTGACAAGAAACAGCATGCAACAAGAGAAATGGGTTTGCAAATCCAAGAGGAAACGGAGATTACTCATGTCATAAGATAGAGTGCAAAAAATTAAACTGCAACCAGTGCAAAACAAAATAGAAAACACAAAGCGTAAGCTCGAGCGTAAACTCAAAGAAAAGCTAGAAAATTCCAAGCAATAATAAAAATGAGGGTTATTTTCTAAACTTGAAAAGTGTGGCCCAAAACAACGCAAATAATGTTGCCAAGTCTTAGGATGAGTGGGACTCGTTGCCTCAGATCTGGCCCAGCGCAGCGCGGACGAGTCCCACTCGTTGCATGCAGTCAATGGGTTAAAAAACATTTTACCCACCTCCATTTGCTCTTAAAAGTTGTTAAGTACCCGTATTTTTGTTTTTGATTGGTCAAGCCTAAATGGGTGGATCATACAATTTTGTGCGTTGATATGACATCATTAAATTTTTCAGAACTTACCTACGTAATGGATTGATGGTAGAATCTTTAGAGCCAAAGAAGAATCCTTATAGAAGAAGGATTTGGAGGTTCCATACAATCCTGATTGATCCTCCGCTCTGATTGGTCAGATTCTGATGAGTGTTTTAGAGCCCAACGAGTCCTGTCCAATCCATTACGCTCGATTGATCAACAATATTAGTTTAAATTATCAAAAATCTATGACCCGACAGATATTTTTGGATGCCACCTTGTTTGACTGTCTCAGTGATGTGCGTTTAAATAGGGGCCCAAAATGCGCAACTTAGCGCTTGTTTTTTGCAGAATGGCAGTTTCCTTAGAATTAAAGTATTTTCACCAAGTCTCCAAATGTTGTCCGTTATTTAGTTTTGTCATTATGAATTATCATTGAAGCTTTCACCATGATTACGTGACGTATTACATCAACAAATTGTATCAGCTAATTTTTAATAATTTTTCACCAACTTTGTACTAAGGAGAAGCTTTCGTTGCTGGCGAAGGGTTTCAGTTCAAGGCTTAGGTTGAAGAACCTTTCAATAAAAATTTGTATCCGAATTTCAAGGCTTGCTCAGTAACAAATGTCTTAGGTACATCTCTTCCCTCTGTTTCCTATCTTTTGTTATTCTCTAATTTTAACTGATTTCAATAATTTAGGTTCCTGAAGCTATGCAAAAATTACATGACCGCAAGAACGTGGGCAAAGTTATCCTGGATCCTAGTCTAGAGCCCAAACCCAAACCTGCCACTCCAGCCAAGAGCAAAGGCAAAGACAAAGAAGAAAAGAAGAAGGAAGACAAAGAAAAGAACAAGGACAAAGATAAGGATAAGGACAAGGAAAAGGAAAAAGAGAAGGAGAAGGAAAAAGACAAGGATGCTGACAAAAATGGAAGTAGCAATCCTCCCGCTGAAGGTAAGACAACAAGACACTTACCTATCTGTTTTTCTTAAAAATCTAGGGCGTACCAAATCTTTTGCCCAGACACTTCTTGAATACAGTATGTAAAGACTGCGGTACTTAATTGCGGGTACATGTTATCTCCCGATATCCCTAAAACAGATTTTTCTTTTTATGCGCTTGCTGTGACTGGCAATAATGTTTTTTTGCACATTATGCTTTTTTTATGTGATAGGTGCCACTTGATGGCAAGTAGATGGCTGAACTTCCAAGCCCTCATGTTTCAATTGCAAGGTTTGAAAATTTTAGCGCATACCTTATTTTTTTGGTAGGGAAACAAATTGAAACTGTGGCTTGAAATGTTTTCAAGTTAACCACAAAATGGCGAAAATGATCAGAAAAAATGTTGAGCTTCATTTTTGATCTTTCTTTCTGGTAAATCTATCCATCTCCAGGTCAGGAATCGCTTTTGAATTGAGCTGCTCTATGTCATGGTCATGTCAACAGACAGAACATGCTGTAAGCTTAATTTTATGGAGACATATGGAAGCTAGAGCGAGAAAGTTGAGTGTGTGATGCAAAACAAGAATTCTTTCGGAAAATTTATTGCAATCGCTCTTTACTGATTACGAATTTACAGGCTAGGTATTGAAAAGGCCTAAGAACCAAGTATGCAGAGAAATACTGAAATGCCACCATCAATTTTTTTTCTCCATAGGATTCAGTTTACTTGACAATTTGCTGCAAAAAGTTTAAACTTATGAATTTGACCTGCAGTCCTATGTACCCTAGGGTGCGGCTTATTTTTGTCATGACGGAAAATGGACGAGGTCCGGGTGGCAATCGGTTCTATCTATGAAAATAATAGGCTGTATAAAATTTGAGCCAATTTGAAGCTTTCTTAGCTGATGCTCAAAGGGATCAAAACTATGGGGCAAAATTACATTGGATTAAATGGGCGGAAAAACACCTGATCTGCGGAAATGCGTTATTTGGATCTAAAATGCGCTTTAATGAAGAAAACCTGATCAGCTCTCAGAGAGGCTTCTAAGGGCCCATCCGAAACGAGTAAATTACACTTTTGATCCATGAGTGAGGACAAGGGGGTAACGGCGTAGCCAGTTTTGAGGCGCCGCACCCGCAGCTTCGTGATCGCTTTTGAGACTTTCTGATGGGACTCAAAATAAGTGTTCCGAAGTTAACGAGGCAAATGTATCTCAAAACTTGATGAGAAATAATGTATAATAGTTGTTTTAGCCTTTAAGAACTATACTTGGCCCTTTCGAATGTTGCCTTCCATGCCATTTCTCGAGCCTGGAACGAAATTGGTGTAAATATTTTATCTAGCACTCGAGTGATCCCCCCTACCCACACCCATGGGTCAAAAGTGTGATTTTCTCGTTGCGAACGGAATCCTAGATGCCACTCCAAGAGCTGGTCAGGTTTTTTTCATTTAAGCGCATTTTAGATCCAAAGAACGCATTTTCGAAGATCAGGCGTTTTTCTGCCCATTTGAACCAATGTAATCTTGCCCCCTAGTTTTGATCCCTTTGAGCATCAGCTGAAAAAGCTTCAAATTGGCTCAAATTTAATACAGCCCATTATTTTCATAGATAGCACCGATTGCCTCCCCGACCTCGTCGATTTTCCAACATGACGAAAATGTACCCTAATGCAGAGACCGCAATAGCTCATATCCGAGTTGCCTCGGCCTCAGGTATCAAGAGGCAACTGTACCGGGAATTCCCTCGGTATTGAAATCTGGACGGGGATCGGAACGCGTACCGCGCTGTCAACCCCTTCGGAGGCGCGAGGGGATGTGGAACGCATGCGGTTAAAATCAGGACCTCAGATCGGTCTCTTCTCCGATGAAAGTGAAATCTTGAGTTAACTATCAACGGCCGGATAGTTCGCTCAGAATCAGCGATTTCGAGTTGATTCAACGGACGGCGACAATTCGCTCAACCTCCTCGATTTCAAAGTCTTGTCCAGGCTTTGAATGGTGGCTCTAATTCGGCCGCGTCTTCTTGTGTTTCATTTTCGTCCGTCCGACTGACAAAATGATGCATGAGTGCAATGACATCTACTTTTTCTACGGCATTTTATCATTCCTTCTCAAATTTCCTTAACTGTTTATGCTCGTTCATTTCTTTATATATTTAACACAATAGGCTCCTTACAATTATTATGTGTCATAAAAATTCACGATCGTGAAACGGGTTTACCGCAGGGAACGGATATTGAATATCTTGAGGCTTATTCAATTTAAAAAAAAAATTGCTTAAATATTATTAGACAACATTACATTGTTTTATTTTAAACAAATGTTTTGATTCCTAATTAGTCAATTTACAAAAAATTGCTTTCAATTGATTTGACCATAATATCAATGATCAATGATCATGGCGTATTTTTTTATGTTATTTACCCGGCGCTTTTACAGTGCTCCCGGCGGGCGCTTTGCTACACCTAATCGCCATCCTTGTCTATCGGAATATAGGTCATCTGGTAAATAGATCCTCGAAATTTCATTTTGAATGCCACCAATCCAAGATTTTGCTGGGCGTCTCCAATACGTTTCCTTCCAAGAGGAAACCATTTCAGTACCTCCTCAGGCAGTCTTTCATCCGCCATTTGTTAATAATATGACCATACCAGATAACCTGATTTTTTTACACGTAAAAGAACTAAAAATTTAAATTTTCCCTAATTTAGTTAAAAGAGGAGGGTGTAAAGAATAAATGCAACTTCCCCCATTCGCAATTTTATCGCGAAAGCCTGGGCAGATCTTAGATTTCGCCCGCAAAATCAAGCGTATGCAACCCGGCACTCCGCAGAGTTAAAGTAGTTGCATATTTGGTTTGAACCCAACTTTGTACATAAGTATATTCATCGATTATGATATGCTCCCCGCAATATTCAAATAACGAGGGTATATTTCGGAAAGGGATCTCAGTTAGTTTATGTACCGTCATTTTATTTGTGATGAGTTTTCTTTATTAACTGAAAAGCCGTCAGGAAGTTAGAACACGGGATGTTCTCGGATATTTCCAATCCAAAGAGAGTAAAGGAAATGAATTTAAAAAAAAAAAAAAAAAAAAAAAAAAAAAACCTGAAAATCGAGTTACTTTAATTAATTTTTTGATGTGGAGAGGGATTGGAATTATACTTAGACCACTTCACTTGGATATGACGAGAGCCTAAAATGTTAGTTCCAAAAGAGAAAAAAGAAATAAAAAAAAATCGGAAAATATAGTCCAATTGTTCAATCTTCTTCGCTTAACCGGATACCATTGTGCTTTCGATTTGTTTGTTGCATTACGTTTCTTCATGATTTCTCGATACTTCACATTAGACACTAATCCCCGTACGTTTGACCGCAGAGCAGGCGAAAGGCGGACCCTCTGGTATTCTACTGTACTTGATAGCGAAGAGATAGTGACTGCAAACATGAAATTTTGATAGAACGGGCTCAGAAGCGTCTGACCAGAAAACTGTACTGAAAGAGGCCTCCGTTCTTTCTCAAATATCACTAATCGTCCGAAAGACTCCCGTTCGAAAGACTCCGTTCTTTCTCAAATATCACTAATCGTCCGAAAGACTCCCAGAAATTGTTTGGATGATTAAAAATTGACCGATTTTATTTCAAATTCATAATAATAGGGTTTTATTTATTTTCATGTTCGGCTAGTTTTAGGCAAGAAAGCCGTAAGTGCTATGCGGAATTAATAACCGTGTTTTCCCCACGCACGGGAGCGTTGAACATTGGGTAACCCAGTCTGGGTTCCTCCCTACATTATGGATGTTGATAACCGCGGAACACCGAGGTAAAAACATTAAATAGCTCAACAATTTCCTGGTACACGTGCACCCCTAAAACCGTAGTATAATCACGAAATACACTCGACCAGCTGTCAAAGTTGCATTTAAAACTGAGAAAAATTGAAAAACTGCGACATGACAAACCCTTTAGTAAACCATTGCTATTCACCGTGGTTCATTTTTTCTATACATAGACATAGTAGACTTTCTGATCATCATTGCGAATTTTACGAAAATGGTGGGCTCATTAATGAAATGTTCCGTTTAAACAGCACTAGGCCCATTCATTTCCTTGATAACATTCAACATTTGGACTAACTGCTCTCTCCGGTGATCCAAAATAGCTCCTTGCTGGTACCTTTCCCAACCCAACAATACACTCACTTCCTCAAGCCATATCATCTCCCAGACTTGGATCCATTTTAGGCGTTGTGGTGGCAGGACAAAAAAAAATGGCAGCTTTAGTTCTAATAATTAATTGATTTGCTCTCCTCATAAATATTCAGAATACCAAACATTTTTCTCCTGGGTGAATAATTGACTTTTTGGATTTTTTTTTATATCACTTTGATTGAAATTTTATGCAGAATCCGAATACATTGAGAAAAGTTAATCCCAGAAAATGAGAAACAAAAAATTTTCCTTGAGCTTATACTTTAGTTACCCCGGTGCAAGGAGCAGTTCTGGGAACGGGAAGCGACGCAGGCTGAATGGAGCCTTGCCGCGGTGCGAATGCGAAGGGTATCGGCGAGGAGCCTGCCGTGTTGCCATTCACATTGTTCGCACATTACTTTCATCCCCTAATGACTGATGAGAGGATGTCGATTGGAAACTCCATCTTCATCCAATTCCAAATCTCTGGCTAGACCGTTGCCATTGCTGTTTTTTGATATTGGGCTAGTGACAATTGATAAGTCCTTTAGAGGCATGAGTTCCATTTACAATGTCTCACCACTGTTGTATTGACCAACTTTTGGGTTGTTTATAGCGTCGCTTCTTTGACGTTAGGGTGTACCTCGGTTTCTATATGAGCCCCAGAAAGCATGAACTTATATGTGAACCGCAGTTCACGAGGAAATTGAGTTACGCCCTTCCGCCCGAGGAGCGGCAATATCTTCCACTCACTCAAATTTTCTAATTTTCCCCTTGAATTGATGTCTTTTCCGGAGGACCTCACAGAAAAAGAATGGTTTTAACATCATTTTTGAGAGTCTCAGGGTTTTTTTTGGGGGGGAATGTTGGCTCATTGCGATTCCGCAAATTATGATTTCTTTACGATTTGCTATCGTCTGTTATGTGCCTACGACGCTGATTAGACAGACACAATTGCGTGTTCGGGCAAAACTTTTTTTGATTAATCTTACTGGAAGGCGACCAAAAAATTCTCAAATTGTTGACAAAACCTCGACCAATGAAGTAGGCTGAAAATTCTATGCGTTCAACGTGATTCGCAAAATGAAGCAATTTTTCGCTTTTGATGCTCACTCTGAGTGATGATTCAAAATTCCCACGAAAACAGAGAATTGTGTTCCGGTGCACTTCTTTACGAACTTTTACGTGACGGCAACGAAAAATTTCTCAGATTTTTAACGAGCCTAGTGTATAATCTCTCAATTGGGCTCACAACAAAATAGGTAAGCCCAACAAGCTAGGTAGCATTCATGATTTTCCGTCATTCGGTGCCTGCTTTCAGTAATGATAAACATCACCTCAAGAGAGGAATTTTTTCAGCATTTTCTCACGTACATTGACGCACACGGAAGCTACAAAATATCTTCATGATTTTTGAAAATCCCTTTTTTTTC